GATAATTGGACATTTCCTGATGGAGCAGATGAACTTTACGTGAAGCAGAAGCCAATGAGATGGAGACCAGTATGGGAAAAGATACGTCCCGTAAAATTAAGAGGCTTTGTTGAATTTTAATTTTGTATTAGTAAATTCTGTCCATTTAATTAAGTTATTGTTAATTATCTATTGGTTTAATGTAAGTGGCTATTGTGCGGGACGAACAATAGTAAGGAAGGGGCAGTGTTACGACAGCGGAATTCACGTGACGCTGGTAACACGTAATGAGTATCTAGAACGTTCTTGAAGACCTGAGCGTTCTCCAGACACCCTCTATTTCGTATATATAAGACCGGCGAGAAGTGACGGCATAGATATAGATAATTTCAGACAGGCTGAGATAGAAACGGACAATTGAGTCAAGTGCAGTAGTAAGTAAAGCACATGAATTGTTCGTTGTGAATTATAGCGTGTGTTTAAGTTAAAGTGACTGTGGAAATTAAGTGTATTGCAAAGCTGAAGTGAGAAAGAATAAACTAGTTTTATTTAAGGAAAGACTTGTATCGCTGAAGTTTCTCTGAAAGAATGTCTACAAAAAATTAACAAACGAACACAGAGACGTAACAGTATTTTCATAACAATCCTATCATGCAGCTGTAGAAGTTATCATGTAGTATATAATAAATACTACATAGTGTTATTAGCATCGCGTTCGTGAGCTTCCAGAAGGCTAAACTTTTTTCTTCGTGATTCTTTAAGCTTTTTTATAACTTGTTTAAATTCTTTAATTTGTTAATCTTGAATTATCTGAGGTTAAATTGTGTATCTTTCAATATGGAAATTATGTCTATCCATTTAAGCATTTTTCCTTTCCTTACTCGTTAACAGTTCATTTAAGTTGATCATTCTTATGTTTAATTCTTGGATTCTCTACTTACTCTTACTACTAAAACTTGAAAGTAATCTGGCATCCTGTCCGTGGGTGTAACAATTTCTAACCAATTTCCTTCTTTCTTTAAGTTTAAATGTTTAGGTTTGATAATCAAACTAGTATAGACCTGACTTTGGGTATACTGTTTTAATCTATTTATCAATCAGCTGTACATTACAAATGATACACTTTCTACTCTTATCTCCTTTTGATTTCATCTAACATCTGTTCTATTGTCTATTGACTAAGTACCTATGATCTCTCTCTTCTCAGTTGACACCATCAGTATGAGGATGCTCATTATATTGGTTACACTGCAATCCAACTTCGTTCGTGCAAATTTGTAGACTATATTTAATTAGCTCTAAAGTTTTACTATTTAAACTTATTTTGTTGCTCTAATATTAAATATTCTAAGATATTAAATGTTCTACACATGTCATGGGCTGTTTCTATATTACTCTTCTCTGACACTCTGTTTATTTCATTATGCACTTTAGTCTGTTTAAGTACTTTTGGATCAAATCTAACTTGTCTGCATCTCCTAGTAGAAGGATCTTGTATCCACTTTCATTTAGCTACATAATCAAGTGATCGTAAATAATAACTGTGCTTTTCTGTAACATGTGTTGGCAGGATCGTGACAGTTTCTCCTTTATTAGGCTTGCTGAACTTAATGAGTCTACACTCCTCGGCTCAGCTACATCACTCGATAGTACTCTTTCGTCAGTTATTGTAATCTGTTCACTAGCCTTTCTTGCATCTAATATTATGAAATCTACATCAACAACTACTTTATCATCATTAAATGTAATATCTATAATATCATTTTCTTTTAGTTCACTTCATTCGTTTTGTAACTATATCTCATCATTACCATTTAAAATCTTATCTTTTACTTCTACTTGAGAAGGCCTGGTTTTTTACAGCTTAATTTCACTAACTGTTCTTTTTTATTTAGCCATTTTACTCTGTTTTTGGCTGCTCCAGTTAAGTGTTCATTTCAGAGATAGTTCTCTGCCTAATGTTGCACTTATATGGTCCAGTTCTTGACTCAGACAACTGGTTGGATAAGGAGGGTCGGCATCACAGTTGCAGTGATTGGCCAAAATGCCGAATATAACTTCCTGTTTGCTAGGTTGAGGTAAGATGCTAGCTAGAACGGTCATTTTAATGACTGAAAGGAACTATCATTCTTTGCTTTCTGAGCTATCAAGTGGCATTGTTTGGCAAAATGTATGGGCTGCATTTTGTGACTGCCACTTGATTACCACAAGCTAAGACAGTCAATTGGTCAATAAATCAATGGCTGAAAAGGTTTACAATCCTTGATTTCTGAACTATCAAGTGATTTTCGACAGTCAAACGCTAGTCTGGTATTTTACGAGAATCATTCATTCTTAATCGCGTAATGACAGTTCCTCAAGAACAGACTGTGAGGTGGCCAAGAAAATGTCACCTGTATTCTTGAATGTGTATAACTCCATGTGCAATAAGATAGTTGTATTTTTCACAAAATTGGTTGGGTGTCTGTGAATCTTAATGAAATACCGTATTTGTCCGAATATAATGCGCCCCAAATATAATGTACACCCAATTTTGAAAGGTTAAGTTGCAGAAATCTTTTTTTTACACATATGTTTAAAACATGTATTGAATAGTTTTCAAATACAGTAAACAACTATCGATGTATTAAAAAATTTTGTAAATCTTTCATAGAATTTCTTTTTACTTATTTTTGAAAAGTAAATACGTGGTAATACACTGGGCTAATCATTCATCTTCACATAGATCTTCATCATCGCTAAAATTGCCATTACCATAGGATTCATCGCATTTGCTTCTTTGAACCATTGCTTCATCCTCTTCTGATTCCCACAGTATGTCATCATCCAACCTAGTCATTGCATTGGACATGCAACATTTTTTAAAACCTTAATGATGCTTTAATGATTTTCGGTGGTAGCTTTTAGTAACATACCAAACAAAGTTGAACGTGCGCGAATATAATGGAGGAAAAAGTGCGCATGATATTCGAGCAACTACGGTAGGTCTCATTTCATTGGATTTGCTTGTATTTACTTTTCTGTGATGTTACTTGAAGTGAGTGGCCTAAATTATGTATGGTGCCTGGATGGTCCGTAGATGGCAGTTATCTTTGACAGAAAAATCACATTTACTGTGGACAATTGTATTTACTTTTCTGTGATGTTACTTGAATTGAGTGACCTAAATTATGTATGGTGCCTGGATGGTCCGTAGATGGCAGTTATCTTTGACAGAAAAATCACATTTACTGTGGACAATTGTATTTACTTTTCTGTGATGTTACTTGAAGTGAGTGGCCTAAATTTCGTTATTCACAGATAATGACACATTACTAAACCGTGAGTATCAAACAATATTTGAAGGATGTAGCGCGAGTCAGTTACTATGGTAATGCAGGTCAAACCAGAGGTGATATGTTGACAACTTCTAGCACATGTGAAGAAGTGAAAAGGTTGAAATATATATGGAGACATATGTCTATAGATGTATACGTGAGGTGTTGCACACATGTATAAACCTTTGTGCAAAGTTATTTATGATTATTGTATGAAACAAATGAAAATATTACTGAGAACAAAACTGGTAGACAAGATATGCATGAAAATGCGAGAATTGTTCTGAATGCTAAGACTTTGAGCTATAAAATTACCTGTAGTTACTGGCCTGTGAAGCATTATTTGAAGACACAGCATGCCTGTTGTTTTCTTTATTGCCAGTGTGAGAATAGTTTAGGTAGTATATTTTATCGAAAGAGTTAATGTTAATGGCTATACTCACGCTGCACTTACAGTTTGATCTGTTGAGTCACAAGTGCTGGCCAGAAACATTCCAGTTAA